AAGGAAAGGAAAGGAAAGGAAAGGAAAGGAAAGGAAAGGAAAGGAAAAAGGAAAGGAAAGAGGAAAGGAAAGGAAAGAAAAGAAAAAAGAAAAGAAAGAAAAGAAAAGGGCTACTTCCCTGCACCTATCTAGAGAAAATCCTTGTTCTGTAAAGCTCTAAACCACTATTGCCAAAAAAAGTTTAACTTCTACTCCTATCCCTTACGTTTCTGGCTCTTAACTTTAAGAGCCTGCCAAACAGCTTTGCTTACAATTGTGTGTGGCAAACAGGTCTTCCAAATGAGCATAAACAATTTTTTAAGACATCGTGCTATAAAGTCCCAAAATTTAAAAAATACATTTTGAACTCCAGCGTCATCAGACTAGTTAATCAGTCTCTTGGTACTCTTTGCAGCTGCCAATACCAATTATGGAAAAAGGATAATTTTGGAAAAGGTCTAACAATTTCAAGAAAGTTACTTATACTTGTGAATATTCCAAAACTTTAAAGTTACAATACAGTCACAAAAAAACGAATCCTGAAATACACCTATATGTACCTGACTTAAGACCATAATCTTATTTTCACTCAGAGTTTCTTTTCCCTATAATATCTTTACTGTAAGGCAGCTCCTTCTCCCTAAATAATTTCCAAGAATTTTAAAACACTTTACTAAATAGATTTAATCATATCTACAGAATCCTATCAACTTATTTGCTTTCTAAAGATCCAACATTTCTAAAAAGAATAAACACAAAGCATCTTTCTAACACTAAACTACTGAAGTGACACTTGACTCACCCCAAACTTGGTTTCTGAAGTTTATTTCTCCAGGAAGCAGAGGGAGACAGAGTTTCTACACAGTCAAAAATAGATGAGTCCCTGTTCATTCACAGACTGTTTCTTCTTATTTTAAACACAAATTCTACCAAGTTCATTTAGTTTTTAATTCATTAAAGAGTGACTCGGAGTAAATTAGCAGGTACAGGGGCTGTTTTAGGCAATCACTTGCTAGGAATTATCAAGTGAAGGTCTTCCTGCCCCGTCCAAAAAAAAAAAGGACAAAAACGTATGAGTAGCAGACAAAAGCATTTATTAAATAATAAATGGTGGGCCCTATTTTAACAACAGTCTGAAGAGTATCATCTCTTCTCAAGGTACCACAGCACAAAAACGACGTTCATAACCAAAACTAAAGTATGAATTTGTTTCTTCTAATAAGGTAAACACACAGAATATTTTGAAACTGTATCTAAAACGCTTAACTCAAAAAAAAAGGAAAGAAAGAAAAGAACACACACTTCCTCCCCTAGGGTCCAACAAAAAGATCGAAATTAATCCATCTGCATTCCAAAGCAACTAATTACTTAAGAAATCCACCCAGCAGAGATCTAAGGCGAAGCCTCTCTTCTTTGATAGTGTTTTATTCTACAGAGTGTTACCATTGTACAGTTCTGTCAAGTGTTTTGGTTGGCACACAATAATAAAATGAGCTTTATTTCCTTTTCTTTTTCCCTTAGCAAAACTCCAGTCTATCAACACCTCTGACATGCGCCAAGGACTACCAGGAATGAAGAAGTATGTTTCAAATAAACTTTCCTATTAAAGTGAGTCCTTGTGGTTAACATAATACCAAAATGTTTTACATCTTATCCAGCAAAACCTTTACAGACTGTAAAAAAAGAAATCTTAAGACACGAACTCGTAGTGTATTTAATAATAAACACTTAACTTGGCCGTACTTACCAAACCGTAGGCTTTTACTATTTATAAGCCTTTGAAAAAACTTTATGCCTTTCTTAAGTACCATCAAAATTTTCAATCAGAATTTCATGCGATCAATTCGCACCACAGTAAGAGATCAAATGCTAAACTCCTATAAATAGGGGTGTTATGAGTGAGAGGGATACACAACACTGCGCTGCCAACGCAACTGCGTCTTCGAGGGGGCAGGGACGCTCCTTGTACACGTACAGTAAGACCTCACATTCAGCAAAACCAGGGAGCCAAGGATCAGGTGACTTCACACCACAGACACTTTCAGAGTGATCAGGCCTTACTACCGTCCAAGTGACTCGTAAACGGCTCATAACCCCAGTTTGACACGAAAATCTGGACTTGCACTCTAGCCACGCGCAACCCGCGCGAATGGGTTTGGGGGCCAAGGAGCCCCGAAACGCAAGCCCGGGGCAGAACCCTGGCCTGAGAACAGCGGTTCCCTCCAGCAAGGGTGTCTAAGGAGCTTTCGGACCCGGCAACAAGGTGTCCGCTCCCCGCGCGACCTCGTCCTCCGCGGGGCCCATCGCGCCCTGGCTACCCATTCCTCCTTGTCCGCGCGAGGGACCCAGGGCAGGGAGCGCCCGCCAGCTAGCGGGTCGCCCAGCAGCATCCGGAGATCGCCGGGCGGAGCGGCGCCGCAGCCGACCTCCCCGCGCCCGGGGCAAGCGGCCACGGCTCAAGGCCGCCCCCTCAGGTCGGGGTGGACGCGGCGGCAGCCACGCGGCGGGCTGGCGGGCAGGGGGCCGGGCCGGGCGCAGACGCGCGCGCCGCTGGTTCTCCAGCAGCTACGGGAGCCGGGACCCGTGGGCCACCCTTTCAGGCCGCGCGCTGCGGGAGCGCGGGGCGCGGCTGAGGTTAGGCCTGGCGGGCAAGCGCGGCGGCGGGAGGAGACCAGAGACAGTCGCGGACTCCGACCCCGCCGCCTGCGGCGGGTGCCCGCGAGCCAGAGCAGCGAGCGTCCTCTCCCCACCAGGGCCCCGCGGCCTCTGCCCCGCTGGCCCGTACCTAGGGAGGTCGTGGACGAGACGTGGTTAACCGCGGCGCTTGGGTCGCTGGTCCGCCGCCGGCGCCGCAACCCTTGGTGCGGCTGCTGCCCTCGCGCTGCCTCGTCCCCCTCCGCCATCTTGTACCGATTTAAAATTAACTCCCCACTGACGTCAAACGCCGCCGCCGCTTTATCAACCTCCCGGGAGCCGGCGGAGCCGCCGGCGGGTCCTAGAGCCGCCCTTACACGAATCTCCTCGCCCTCCCTCCGCCCACGCCCCGCCCAGCGCTCGCTCGCTCCGCCCACGTCCTGCCCGCCTGCGGTTCCTTCTCCCCCGCCCCAAGCTTCTGGGCTGATTGGGGCGGGGGTGTCCCCGCCGCCGCCGTCTCGCACCCCCACCTCACTGAGCTCAGCACCACACCCCCCTTAGCGCTGGGCCAGGCTGTGCAAACGCCGAAGGGATCTCCAGAGAACTAAGTCCCTCCCTCCCAATTCGCTTTGCATTTCTAATTGATTCGTGTGTCCTGCACGTGAGGTGGCTTTCGCACCCTTCTCTCCTTTTCATCGCCCCTTCCTCATCACAGTCATTCCCCTCCTCTCTCCCCAACCCACCCCACAAGCTGGTGCCAGTGCCCAGCTTTTCCTCTTGATCTTTTCTCTCCTCTCCCAGGTCCCTACTGTTGCTTCCCCTCCCCCTGCCATCCTAAGATTTGTTTGCATTCTCTCCCCATCTACTTATAAGACCTTCCCCCATCTTCTCAACTGTGTATACCCTGTGCTCCTAGCACCTTGCAGAGGCAAGCCAGAAACTACTCTAATCGGAAAATGAATCGTGGCAGATTCTTTGCTAATTGTGATGAACCTTCTTCTGGGGATCCAGTGACATCCAGAAGAAAGTTCAGGTCACTTTTTAAATACAAATCAGCCTGTGGAGGCGTCTGTGAAACGTGATTCCTGTTGGATTTTTACCATACCACGCCAGCTGCATTAGAAATTCCTCTTCTCCAGTAAAAACGGATGTCCGGGTGTACAAACCCCTGTTTTGTCCAGGTCTTCTCATAAGTCTAAAATTCACAGCCTGCACGATCTCTAGATGAGCACGGGTGTTATTGAAGCTTTCAAAATACCATTCTAGGCCCGGCGCGGTGTCTCACGCCTGTAATCCCAGCACTTTGGGAGGCCGAGGCAGGCGGATGACCTGAGATCAGGAGTTCGAGACCAGCCTGACCAACATGGAGAAGCCCCGTCTCTACTAAAACTACAAAATTAGCTGGGCATGGTGGCGCATCCCTATAATCCCAGCTACTCAGGAGGCTGAGGCAGGAGAATCGCTTGAACCCGGGAGGCAGAGGTTGCAGTGAGTTGAGATCATGCCATTGCACTCCAGCCTGGGCAACAAGAGTGAAACTCCGTCCCTACCCACACACACCCCCTCCTCCAAAATAAGTACCATTCTGGAGTGATTTTTGTTCAACTATTTGAGGGTTGTTTCTTCATTTTTCTGTCTTTGAGGAAAAGGGTTTAGAGCTCCTTCTGGACTTTCTAACTCCCTGTATCCTGGTTCAATGTCCCTAGGGCAGCCTAACCAGCTACATGCTTGCTAATGGATTTCCTTTCATAATTTCTGTATGCAACACCTACTTAATATTGTCCATGATCTACTTTATGCCAAGTATCATCTTAGACATCAGAAAAGATGGAAAAAAATGAGGTTTTTTGCCTTCAAAGACTAAACTGCCATTTAGAATTAGCAGTGAAGTTAACACTGACGTTCCCCCATTAGGGACCCCTAGAGAGAGAAGGTGATTCCCCAGGCTGCATCACTGGCCAATTGGCCTCCTAACTGGTGTCCTTTCTGCTGTTAGACACTGTTTATCTCATACACCACTGCTACTACCATGCCCTGGACAGACCCACAGCTCCTGACTCCAAGGAATGTAGAAAAGCCAAATGCAAGCACAATGAAGACAGTGAGTGAGCATTGGTCCCACAATTGCCCCAAATCCATATGTTTAAAAAACCTTCCTCCATTTTCCCCAGTAAGCAGTTCTTCTTCAAGTTCTTATCACAGTGAAACTTCAGTGCTACTCCAGACCTCGCCGTCTTCCCTCCCCACTTCTCCCAGCAAGTCCCATGTAAAGTCAGTTCTGACTTGTAAATCTCTCTCCAACTTATCTGGCTTCGAACTCCTTAGCCCCTTCTTGAGTCAGGCCCTCCCTTTCTCCCACTAGACTTATTGTAACAACTTCTTACTGTTCTTCCTTCTCCTGTGGGTTCTCCACACTGACACCAGCTGGAGTTTTCTTTTTTTCTTTTTTTTTTTTTTTTTTTGAGATGGAGTCTTACCCTGTTGCCCAGACTGGAATGCAATGGTGCGATCTTGGCTCACCGCAACCTCCAACTCCCGGGTTCAAGCAATTCTCCTGCCTTAGCCTCCTGAGTAGCTAGGACTACAGGCACATGCCATCACGCCCAGCTAATTTTTGTATTTTTAGTAGAGACAGGGTTTCACCATATTAGCCAGGATGGCCTCGATCTCTTGACCTCATGATCTGCCGCCTCGGCCTCCCAAAGTGCTGGGATTACAGGCTTGAGCCACCGTACCCAGCAGTCTTCTTTTTCTTTTTGGAGTTTTCTTAGATGCAAATCTGATCATGTTGATTTCTCTGCTCAGGATGAAGTCCGAACTCTTTAGTATACTTGACAAGGCTTTTCATAATTTAGACTTTGTCTATGTATTGAGCCTCATTTTTCACCACTCAGTCATTCATTCCTTCATTCTTTCATTTAACAAATGCGTCTTGCTTCTCTTGTGAGTGCTGAAGACCCAAGTAATGAACAACATCAACAAAATGGGTTTCCGTGGTTTTTGTTTCTTTCCACACCCTACACAAACCTCACCGCCACAATAGAGTGAGCTCCAGGAACTCAAAGATCTGCCTTGCCCAGGGTATACCGCCAGCACCCAGATCAGGCCTGTGACATAGCAGAGCCTCAATAAATACCTGTGGAATGAATGAGTGAGTAAATAAATAAATGAATGAAGTGTTTACAATTATATCACTGATTCACTTAATGCTTCTAAACCTCTAAGTCTTTGTTTTTTATAACCATGGGATTCTTAGTGGATCAAATCAAATAATGTACAAAGAGTTTTTTCTTGACTGTAAATAGCTACCATTATGGAACGTTTGCTGTTGCAGACACTGTTCAAAGAACTTTATGTTAAGTCATTTAATCCTTACAACAATCCTAAGAGGTAAGTGCTAATACTATTTTCATCTTAGAGATGGAGTTGCAGGCACTGAGAGGTAAAATAACCTGCCTAAGTGGCAGAATTGGCATTTGAAGATAGAGTTTATGCTCATTCCCACCGTGATATTATTCAGCTTATAGACTATAAGTTTCTAGAAGGCAGTTTACTGGTAGCAGATACTCTGGGATTCTGCCTTCAGTTAATGTAAACTGTATCAAAAGCTATTTCTGCCAAATAAGCAACTTAAAAATTACATCCACACAGGCAAAAGACATTGGGCACAATGGTTCGCGCCTATTATCCCAGCACATTGGGAAGCCAAGACAGGAGGATTGCTTGAGGCCAGGAGTCTGAGGCTGCAGGGAGCCATGATCCTGCCACTGCACTCCAGCCTGAGAGAGATAGCAAGATGTTGGCTCTAAAAAAAAAAAAAAAAAAATTAATAAAAAAATAAAAATATATTTACAGACAATTCACAAAATAGTATTCTAGAAATGGACATTAAACATATGAAAAAATGTTTATTTTCACTCATAAAAGAAATGAAAAATGCACTGAGACACCATTTCTCACCCATCAGGTTGGCAAGCTTTTTTTTTAAGTGGAGTTTTGCTCTTTTTGCCCAGGCTGGAGTGCAAACAGCATGATCTCGGCTCACTGTAACTTCTGCCACCCAGGTTCAAGTGCTTCTCCTGCCCCAGACTCCTGAGTAGCTGGGACTGCAGGTGCCTGTTACCACACCCAGCTAATTTTGTATTTTTAGCAGAAACAAGATTTCACCATGTTGGGCAACCTGGTCTCAGACTCCTGACCTCAAGTGCTCAGACCACCTCAGCCTCCCAAAGTGCTGGGATTACAGATGTGAGCCATGGTGCCTGGCCTGACAAGCACTTTTTAAGTTTATGATTACATGCTGTCAGTAAGGATCTGGAGGAAACAGTTACTCTCATACATTGCTAGTGAGAATAGAAAATGGTATAACCTTTATGGAAAGGAATTTGACAATATCCAACAAACCTCATTTGCTTTTACACTTCAACCCACTAGTCTCATTTCTGGGCATGTACTCTGAAGATGCACCTTCAACAATACAGAATAATACATTTGCACAAGGTTATTCATTGCAGCATTATTTGCAGTTGCAGAATATTAGAGGCTATCTAAATGTCCAGGCCTAGGTGATTGGTTAAATAAACTATAATAAATACTCACAGTGAAGCACTTTGCAGCTGTTAAAAAAAAAAAAAAAGAGAGAGAGAGAAAGGGCTGGGTGCAGTGGCTTACATCTATAATGCCAGCACTTTGGGAGGCCGAGGCGGGCGGATCACGAGGTCAGGAGTTCGAGACCAGCTTGACTAACATGGCGAAACCCCATCTCTACTAAAAACATAAAAATCAGCCAGGGGTGGTGGCATATGCCTGTAGTCCCAGCTACTCAGGAGGCTGAGGCAGGAGAATGGCTTGAGCCCAGGAGGCAGAGGTTGCAGTGAGCCGAGATCGCACCACTACACTCAAGCCTGGGTGACAGAGGGACATTTTGTTTAAAAAAAAAAAAAAAGAAAGAAAGAGGGAAGGCAAGATGAACCCTATAGACTGGATTAAATTGGAAGCATTGATACGGACTCAAGATTTCTAAAATATGTATATGTTTGTGTGTGCAAGTGTATATATGCATGTAAGTGTATATGCATACATATAGATGTATATTTGCGTATGTCCTTATGATAAATGATTTGAAGAGCTCACTTTGTCAAGATACTTTCTGTTTTATCATTGGCCTGAAAAACATAGTATTTGAAAAAGAAGCAGAGAAAGACGAGCAAAAAATCTTTACAAGGATTGTTCTACAAATATTTATTCACTGTCATTTACTCACTAAAAAACATTTGCTGAGGTACATAGAGGAAAGAAACCATTTACAAACAGC